TTTTGAAACATTAAATGAAATAATACAATGAGCCTCACTCAAATGTAGTAAGTTCTCAATAAACCTAGGTATGGTATAATTATTTGCTTTCTGTGTGATCAAAAAATACAGTGAATAGTTAAATGTATTACAGTCAAAATCACATCCCTATTAATCCCCTCAAAATACTCCCCTCACTTCAAATACACTTATCCAGGACCAGGAATATAGCTCAGCAGCATAGTGCCTGCCTGGTAAGCGTGAGGTCCTAAGTTCAATTCCAGGCACCAAAACAAACAAACAAATAAACAAATACATTTATCCCATCCTTCTTGCCACTTTAGTGATAATGTGTCTTTTAGTGTAATAAATTTTAAAAAATTTAAACATTCATTGTATATTTTGATCACATCTGGTTTCATATTTAATAAATAACATTTCAGCTTAACTTAGTATTTCGTCCTTAAAATTTGAGCAAAATAAGAAAATCATATGCTCCTGGAATGCTAAAACAAAACACAACTACATGCTGATATTCTTTTCCTTTCTATTTCCACTACCATGCCAAATAAAATGTTTCAATTTTTTTTTCAGGAGTTTTGCTCATGCTTTCTTGAAAAAAATAGTTGAGTCTTATAGACTACTGTCTTCCTTGTTCTTAGCTCAGGGCCAGAAACACAGTAGGTATCACTATTTCTGTGTTAAGGTAGCGAACCATCTGACAGCAAATGCTCAGGGGCAGGGAGTCTCTGAGAAATGCTTGTTTCATGTGTTCATATGAAATGGTGAGCTGTTTCACAGGCCATGGTCACTGCTTTCCATCTTCTGCAACACCAAAACACATCTAGAGTAATGCTTTAAGGGCTGGGGATTTAGCTCAGTGGCACAGCGCCTGCCTGGCAAATGTAACATCGTGAGTTTGATTCCCGGTACCAGAAAAAAAAACAAAGAAAAATAGAGCAATGCTCTATTACTTTGCTAATCATGACAAATCACCTGCTCTAAAAATGTGATTGATGAATAAAACAGTGACCTATTTAAGTAAATAGTTTTGCTAAATTAATTTACCCCAACTGATTTCATTTCAGTGATAAACTAAATTTCAGAAGTAAGGCCATAAAAAGAAAACACTTTTTTTTTTTTTTCTGTGTTTTTGGGACAGGGTCTTGCTATACAGTTCAGGCTGGCCTTGAGCTCACTTTGTAGCTCAGGCTGGTCTTGAACTCACAAAGATAGTTCTGCCTCAGCCTCCCCAGTGCTGGGATTACAGGTGTGCACCACCACGCCCAGTAAGAAAACATCTTTAAGGGACCTGGATTCCAACCTTGTGACCAAACAATGACACTTTGAAGAAACTATGTAATTACTGAGAGTTTATGAGTCCTCATTGGAAAATAGGAGTTTGAACCAGATTTTCTCTAAGGTACCTTCCGATCCTAATGAATCTCTGATTCTAATTATACAAACCTGTATCGTTATACTTGTCATCTCTCTGTCCACTTCTTTTTTGGTATTTCCTCTCCTACTGAGAACAAGATTCAAGTTTTCAGTATCTCTTTTATTTGACATTATTTGGCAAGAGCTGTTATCTTTTTCATCAAGAGCTAATAGTTCTGCAGCTAGACAACCTAGTAGTTCATCTGTCAAGTCTTCATTCTTTACTGAGTCCAGACTTTCTCGGGAAATTGAACCTGTATCCTTTAAAGTATTTCCAAATGTTTGAAATGTGATGGATTTATCTGTTAAACTATCATGATCCAAAGAATGTGCCCAATATTGATATATTGGGGAAGATGCGCTCTCTTGCTTCTCTTGGAAAGAGAAACTTGCAAGTGTTTTAGGCTTATCTAAAATATTATCAAATTCTAGATAATTCATTAACATTTGACTGGCATTTATTTTATCCAGAGGTGTTGTACTCTGCTTTTCTGGCAGTACGTGCTTGACAGAACTCTTCTCAGTGGGCATGGTCCAGCTGTTTTCTAAAGGGACAAATGGGGTCTGATGATGTAGCTCTTCAAGTTCTTGCAGATCGCTAAGGCTTGTGCTGAGTATCTGATGGTTAGAAATATCTCCTTTGTTGGTAGGCTCTTCCATGGAGATCTCTTCAACGATGGGTAAATCTGAAACAGCAAGGAACTGGTTCTGTTCAGGGGGCTTCCCAAGAGTCTGGGCCAAGTTCACGGGCTGAGCTTCATCTTTGGGAGATAGAAAGTCATTTCCTGGAGATTTTATCTGCCAGCCTGCTTGTGAAATACCATTACTATTTTCAGAGTCTTGTAGGTTTCTACCTACAGCCTTGCAACCCTTTTCTTTAGAAATTAAGCCTTTGTGCTTTTGTTTAAGAACAACTGAAGGCTTTGGTGGTTTAATATGAGATCTTTTCTGAGAAAGTCTTGTTCTGTTGCTGCTCCTCTCACTGTGCGAAGATCGACATTTATTGGTTATACATCTGCCTGACGGAGCTGAATATAACTCACGGTAAAATTTGTTTTCATGTCGTTCAGCCTCTCGCATGTGACAATAAACAGGAGTCCCAAACATTTCATATATTCCAGGGCCATTAGCAGTTGAGTTGATTTCTTTGAACATGTCACTATACTTAAGGTCCGGGTAATGTAGTCTTGGCTCTGCTGGTTGAGCAGAGAGAGGGACACACGGTTTTTTTATTCCTGGATTTTTACAGATGCAAGGAAATGATTGCTTTTTAGGGTTCTGAGTTTGGTAAGCTGACTGCTTCTTTTCTATCTGTGGTGCTCTCCTTTGAAACCTGGGTGATTGCTGAGGCCGAGGGTCAACCAGCTCTAAAGCAGGGAAAACCTGAGTTTTTATGCTAGTTGTATGCACACTAGGCTTAATAGAAGCTTGAATGGAAATCGTGAAATTCTGAGATGTCCTCTTACTTGTCTTGGTCTTTGAATCCAATTTACTTCTACGGATATTCTTACGCTTGTCATTTTCGTGGTGTACAAGTATGCTGAAGCTATCGCTGTGAATGGTGCTCTTTCTTTTTTGGAGGGTTGGTTTGACTACAGCTGGTTCCTTGGGGGTGCCAGCATCAGGGAAAGTGATGCTGACAAGAGGCATCTTCTCATTCATTTCTGTTTTGCTTTCTTCCGCTACGGCTATTTTCATGTTTGTCTCCATATTGGGATGGCCTTCTAGAACCTTTTCAATGGGACCATCAGAAATCGCATTTGACAAACTTTTAAGTTCAGTAAACTCTTCGAAAATGTTTGGTTCTATGGCTTTGCTTTTATGCAATGAAGGGCTTTTTGAATCAGTTGTATCATTCCTAATCTCTTCATCTTCAGTTGGAGTTATTTCTGAACGTTGGGCTTCTTGCAGCTTACTTGGAAAGGTACATACAATTTCTGAATCTTGTTCATGCTTCCTAGCTGCTGAACCTGGTTTCTTTCTTGATGAAAGATCTTGGGAGTTCTCTTCTGCCTTTCTCATATCACTACCATGACATTCAAAATCTGCTCCCCTATTTATAAGAATATTGTCTTCCTTAAAAGTCTCAAAAGGACACTGCCTTTGATCAAAGCAAGAGATTTCGATTTTGTCCCATCCTTCTGTTTCCTTGGACCTCCAATTTTCCTCCACATCCAGGTGGTTACCTTTCGAAAGAGAGTACATGTTTCTTGACCAAATATAGCTACCAGAAGTCCTGAGATTCTGATCCACCAAGCCCTTCAATGAGGCTTCCTGTGGTGGACTCACTGAGAACTTCGGTACAAAGGAAGCACAGTTTGAAAGACTTCTTTCTTTCTCTCTTGGAAACTTGTGACTTTTGGGGCTGGTGAGGACATCAGATCTGATGGGCAAGAGTGACAGTGGTGGCAGAGGGAACTGAAAAAGAAAGAGAGAGAAAATGCAGAAACACAAATAGATATCATGTTAACTGGCTTAAAGTCATCTGAAGAGACTGTAATATTCTCCTAAGAAATGTCTTCAGAGTACAAAGCTATCCTAGAGATCAAAATTTTTGAAACTAAAATCTCAGTAGAACATGGTAGAACATGGACTTATCACGTATTCAACCCTTGATTTAATCTCCAGCACTAAAAAGAAAAGCAAAATAATGCAACTAAAATCTCATACTCAGTAGTGTTTTATTTATTTATTTATTTATTTATTTATTTTGTCTTGTTTGAGACAGGGTCTTGCTATGCAGCTCAGGCTGGCCTTGAGCTCACTTTGTAACCCAGGCTGGTCTCGAACTCACAACCATCCTCCTGCCTCAGCCTCCCTAGTGCTGGGATTACAGGCATGTGCCACCACACCTGGCTTTCGGTAGTGTTTTCAGAACCAATTTAAAACAATACTTTTAAAAAACGAGATGTAAACACTCGGTTAGTTTTTTGTTTTGTTTTGTTTTTGTTTTTTGAGACAAGGTCTTGCTAAATAGTCCAGGCTGACCTTGAACTCACTATGTAACCCAGGCTGGCCTTGAACTCATGGGGATCCTCCTGCATCAACTTCCCGAGTGCTGGGATTACAGGTGTGCGCTACCATGCCCGGCCTCATATTTTCAAATGAAGGATTTGTGTTAAAAATTTAAGATAAGAAGCATTTTATTTCTCTTCTTTTAATTTTTCTTTCCATAGGATTGCTTTAAGTTTTTTTTTGTTTTGTTTTTTGTTTTTTTGTCTTTTCTTCTGGTACCAGGAATCGAACTCACGACCTTGTGCTTGCCAGGCAGGCGCTTTGCCACTGAGCTAAATCCCCAGCCCCTCTTTAAGATTTTTGAAGTCCCACTGAGAATAGTTTTAAATTGCTCTCATGTATATTTTAATAAGCATCACTCCACTGTTGGCTACAAAGTTTGTATCTGGCACACAAATATTCACCATCATTTTGCTGAATTTTTTTTTTTGCTGAATTATTTTGTTGAGCGTAGCTTATACATTGCCAGACTTTCCACTTGAAAGTTGGTAACCTGAATGACTTTTCATTCTCCTTTACCCTTCAACTACAGTACATCCCATGAAGTCGCGGTTCAGAGTTCGCACGCAGGCTCAGTCCTTTGAGGATTTTTCCTTAGAACCTAACTAATAATTTTTCGTGGAAACTTCTGTAATTTCACGGAAACCGCAAATATCCTCCGCATTTGGGGGCGGGAGTTTTGCAAGCAGCCAATCCGAAAGCGTCATTTAGTTTTCCTTGCTGCTGATTGGCTACTGCCGTATACCCCATCTCTACAGATGCATCAGCGTTCCTAATCATAACAAGTTGCTGTACCGCGTGGCTGTCTCTAATGTTCTCGCTTCCGTTCTTCTTAAAGCCCTAAAGTACCCTAAGATGACGCCAAAATTCTTCAATTAAATTTTTAACTGTGGGAGGCACAGCATATTTAGGGTTTAAACTATAAAAATAGGCATCTATGGACCTTTTTCTAACCATATCTGAAACCTGCAGTTTTTCACAATTCTCAGGTGCTCTAGGAATGTAATCCCCACGGATTGCAGGGGTTCACTGTATTTTCAAAGTGAGCTAGTTTTTATTACTACCAACCTCTAGAGGTCAGTATAACCCAGTATATAACACTCAACTTTGCGGTCATTAAGCTATAAACTCAAAGCTTCTTTTCCTTGTGGGCTTTTCCCTTGTATAAAGTCCATAATTATATAAGAATATTCATAGGCACAGATTGTGCATTGTAATCGAGAGCTTATAAGTTTAATTTTCATTCTTTTGCCACCTTAAACAGGAAGAAAAAAACTTATACTAGAAACTTAGGTATTAAGGGGTGAGATGCAATGTAGCCTCATTTTGATTGCTGGGTGATTTTCTACATTTCCCCCAAATAAGTTAGAAATAATAGCAGATTCTCCCGGGGCTTCAACGTTCTTTTAACTATCACTAATTTTTTTAGGTCAATAAACTTTTTAAAACACTGAGGTGCTAATAAATATTTTCTCAAAGGCTCACAGCATACAGAAGGGATGAGAGAGCTGAGAAAACTAAAGAATTATAAATATCTTTCCAAAAGTTTTACTTATAAATTAAACAGCTAAAAAAATATTCACCACTAGAAAAAAATTCCTTAGCTTCTAGACAGATTAACCACTGAGTCCAATTATTTAAATACAGGATGACCAAAAAATTGCAAACTTTTTCATTAATTTTTATAAGATATGTAACGGGAAATATAAAAATGATTTTGTCAAATTTACCCAATACAAGAATTACTGGTTCAAATGACACCTGCCTGAGCCGTGGTCAGGAGAGTCAGCACATAAACAAATATAGTGAGTGATGCTTGGGCTAAACTGATACAAGGTTAAATGTAATCAGATGAAGCCAGGCATGGTGGCGCATAGCTGTAATCCCAGCACTCAGGAAGCTGAGGCAGGAGGATCTCTGTGAGTTCAAGGCCAGCCTGGACTACATAGCAAGACCCTGTTTTAAAACAAACAAACAAACAAACAAAACCAAAAAAAGACAAAAAATAAATAAGTGAAAATGTGTCTAAGAGAGCTACCAACTTTAGTATGTACAGAAAATGAAATAGCCCAGGAAAGCCATACACAAGGTGTCATTTTCCCAGGAATGATTGCCAGTCCACAAACCATGAGTTATTTTCCCGAGATATAATTGCTGAGGACTAGGTTCTGAACTGTTTAATGAAGTTTGTCTTTAACAATTAGAATTCTTCAGTTTTTAATTTACAAGTCAGAAATGCTAAAACTAATCTTACCCCAACTCTTCGGTTACTGCATTTCAAATCACATGTAGAAACCTCTACAAAGAGAAAAATACAATAATTGAATATTCTTAGTAGTTGAGTGAACACATTCTTTTTTCTTTCTTTCTGTTTTTTTTTTTTTTTTTTTTTTGTCTTTTTGAAACAGGGTCTCCCTACGCAGTTCAGGCTGGCCTTGAGGGCACTTTGCAGCCCAGGCTGGTTTCGAACTCGCAACGATCCTGCTGCCTCAGCCTCCCGAGTGCTGGGATTACAGGCGTGCGCCACCACGCCCGGCACGTTCTTAAACCAGAGTGTGAGGATGGAGTAATGTAGATAATAAAGTTTGAGGGAAATTGGTAGCAATTAAGAGTTTTTCCCTGTGTAATCTACACGGAAGTGGGTATGGAAAACTTCCGGCTCCTGCCACCAGGGGGAGATGTTGTCTCATGCAGTAGTTTCCCTTTACCCAGCTTTGCTTTCCATGGCTTCTGTGGTCTAAAAACATTAAATGGAAAATTCCAGAAGTAAACAGTTCCTAAGCACTAAATCATGTGCCATTCTGAGAAGCGTGAGAAACCTCGCACCACCCTGCTCTGTCCCATCAGGATGTGAATCATCCTCTTTTCCCATCCATACTGTATACACCGCCCACCCATTAGTCACCCTCTAGCCGTCTCTCTCCTTTTTTATTTTAAAGGGAAAAAACAATGAAACAAAATTTCAAAACAAGACAATGAGAGAATAACAATGGTTAATACAGTGTGTATTGTTATCTTCAAAGTAGTTGCTCAGAGTACAAGATATAGGCATGAAAAATTGACCAAACAATATTAGCACAAACCTTTCTTTTCAATGAACTAAGAGAAATTAGTAGTATAACTGTCTTAACTATCTTGTGTATATTTTTCCTCTTCCCTTCTTTCTTTTCTCCTTTCCCCCATCCCAGTTTCTCTTCCCTTTTGAATAGTTTCTTCCCATTTCACAATAGCTATTGTACATTTCGGGCTCCAGCCATGTCTGTTGTCAGGTTCACTGTCATAGTATCAAGGTGCTTGTTTTCACATAACCTCACGTAAGAGATGAAAGCCGCATCATTAGGCCTCCGTCATTCACCTCACCTTATTTTGTCACATAGGCATTGTATCATCTCACATCATCACAAGAACAAGAAGGGAGAGTGGAGGGCAAGAAGATGCTGAGAGAGATCACATTCACAAAACTTTTTATGTTATGATAATTGTTCCATTGTTGCTAACTCTTACTATACCTAATTTACAAATTGAACATTATCATGGGTATGCATGTGTAGGAAAAAACAGGATTGTGTAGGGGTCAGTACTATCAGAGCTTCCAACCCTCTACTGGGGAACTTGAAACAGAACCTCTGAATAAGAGTGGGCTACTGTGTTATATCTATTTCTGGCAGGATACATGAGATCCCTGGGTCAGAGAACAGATCGTTTCTTACTGACAGAGCACCAGGCCTGTTCCCCCCATCCCAGACCCTCACAGAGTGCTGTGATGGGAGCCAGATGCTTAGGTGGTAGGTTTGCACCAAGGGGAGGGACCTTGAAATCCTGTGTCTTGGGTGATACTATAGAGTGGTTGGCAGCTTTGCCCATCTTTCCCCCCAGAGTGAGACCGCTGTGATGAAATGTAAGCGAATGTCTCCAGGACAAAGGAATGGGATGTCTCTGGGCTTCATTACCTCTAGGACGTAAGCTAGTGTTTCCTAAGGAAAGGAGTCTCTGAAAGTCTCTGGAGTTGATACAGACTCTAACTTCCAAGGCCTGTTTGCCATTCAGTCATCTCTGAACTTAGTTTTCTAGGGCTTTTTGCTCAGAAAGCCTGGACTGTGCCGAAATGGGAAAATAAAAAATTTTTAAAAAGATGTATAAAAATTTTCATGTGTAATTGTCTCCCCACAGTTGTTTGAGTTAGATCATGAGTTCTGGACACTGAGGTGAGGAAGAAGAGTGTGGAATTTCCTAGGTGATATAAATAATATAAAACCTAGAAGTTATCCTCTTCTAACTAAAAATTCAGAATGGTTCCCCAAATCCTATCCACCACTACAGCCTAAAGCTGAAGTCAAAATGTCAATGGGATTGTCTCCATGTCTCTAAGGTCAAAACAAAGTATATAATTGGATATAAGCAGGACACTGGTGAACTGAGATCATGTGCCCGAACTACAGTGGCATCATTATCTAGTTGTATGTAAAGTTCAAACCAGGTGGGTAACCCAGCAGTGCTAGATCTTCCAACGACAAAAGATACCAGAGATGTGCAGATTTTATGTGAAATGTTCCTCTCACTGCTTTGGGGTTTGTTTGTTTGTTTGTTTTTGAGACAGGATCTCATTATTTACTCCAGGCTGGGCCTAGAACTCACTACATAGTCCAGGCTGACCTCAAAGTCATGTTGATCCTTCTGCCTCAGCCTCCCAAGTGCTGGGATTACATAAAACTGCAACACAATACCTACCTAGTCCTTTGTTTTTTTAAGGCTGTGAGGACTAAATAAAATATACCTGTAGGTCCTTCTCAGCCACAGGCTGTGATTTTGAAATTTTTCTTAGAAATGAGCTTCTTAAAGCTATAACACAGGCAGAGAAGCCTACCTCAGGTGAAAAAGTTCCTAAGAAGAGGAGCCTCGCAAGCTCCTTAACAACAGCTGTCTAGGCATTCCTCCTGTGTACACAGTTCTTTTTTGTTTTTCAGAAAATGATTTTTATTTTTTTTCTAAATATGATAAAATGTTTAAGTTCATATTTTAAAGTTGGTGATTAAATCTTAAATTCATATAACATTTTCCATCCAGTTTTTTGTTTTGTTTGTTTTGTCTTTTTGAGACAGGGTCTCACTATGAAGCTCAGGCCGGCCTTGAGCTCACTTTGTAGCCCAGGCTGGTCTCAAACTCAGGTTGATCCTTCTGCCTCAGCCTCCCAAGTGCAACAAACATATGAATATGGTCAAATGTTAACTCATGTCACTTTTGTACTAATAACTTCTATTTATAGAGTGTTTCTGAATACACATAAAAACTTCTTGTCATTATTTTGTTTTTAAAAGAAAACACTATTTAAAGTCTTTTTTTTTTTTTTTAGTACTGGGAATCAAACTCAGGACCTTGCACTTGCCAGGCAGGTGCTGTGCCACTGAGCTATATCCCCAGCCCAAGAAAATGCTATTTAATAAATTATAACATAGCCCCAAATGTATGCTGGAAAAGTATAAAAGCTTAGGGGGAAAAGAGCTTCACTTTAGTCCCATTTTTTGGAGTGTCCTCAGTCACCATTCTTTTCTGTATGGTTATGATTTTTATTATAATTGGTTTAGTTTTAAGATGACAACATATTAACAAATTATTATTAATATAGGCTTTTCAACTTGCCCAAGATCATGCATTGTAAGTGGAATGAAGCAGCATTTCCAGTTGGCAAATGGATCTATGGGTAATGAGGTTTCTCTTCAATAAAGCTTGTGACAATTAAACCAAAAAATGGCAATGAGAAAACTACTGACAAAGTACAGAGAAATATTCATCCCAATGTATGCAGGAGTCGGTACTGTAGGGGAAACAACGAATACCTGAAGCAGTACAAATGGAAACCAGGTACCAAGAGAACGGGCAATGAGCTTGAGCAAGAGTATTTTTTAGAGTTTACCTAGGGAGGGATGAAGATAGAAAATATACGATAGTCGCATTTATATAAGAAGTTACTTGAATAGCCTGTACCAAGGTAATAACTTCTGCCCAAGAGGTGATAAAAGCCATAAATACGGTTATCATCCTGGAAAGTGACAGGCAGTAACTCTGAATGCTGACATAGACAGGACATTGATAAGAATGAATATTCTGTGCCTTCAGGCTTTGGTAGAAGGCTGGATCTCCCAAACCATGAGCCAGGACTGAAATCCAAATTAAAATTACTGCAGAGAAGTAAACTAAGTTTTGACATTTAGGTGAAAGCTTGGTGAGTTTAGAGGAATTCAGGCAATGTTCTATGCAAGATATTAAGAAGACTGGAAAATGCAAAAAGCCCTAAGTAAAAGAAATAATTTGAGCAAGTAGGAAGATATGGTATTTAGTAAACTTAATACCTAAAAGTACAAAATCCCTGAAGTAAGATATAATGGAAATGTTTACCAAAAATTTAAAAAATCAACAAATGCTAATGAAACACAAAAAGTCTATAAAATTTTCATAGCTGAGTTTTCTTCTCATTCCTAATGTGAGGGTATTTAATGATATTTTCCCAAGTACAATTAAAAACAACAGACAAACAGCATGTAGAGGCTGATTTGCTTGATGTAACTGGTTCTGAAAGACCAGTTGTCTAAAGAAAAAAGTGTCTTAGAGCCAGGTGTGGTGGCACATGTCTATAATCCCAGCACTCGAGAGGCTGAGGCAGGAGGATCATTGTGAGTTCGAGACCAGCCTGGGCTGCAAAGTGAGCTCAAGGCCAGCCTGAACTGCATAATGAGACCCTGTCTCAAACAGCAAAAAAAACAAAAAGGTGTCATATTTTTAGTTAAATTTCAAGAAGACCTGCTGAAACATACATGATAAAACACTGCTTCATCTTATTTTCCATCCTGTCCAGAAAGTCTTCCTGATCTATGATCCTATTTAATTTTGGTTGTGCTGCCTTTAATTATGTCACTGTCGGTTTTTTTGCATTTCATTTTGCTATGCTAAAATGCTATGTAAGCTATCCTTTGTAGTTGTGGTGGTTTTATTTTTTTTGGTACCAGGAATCGAACTCAGGACCTTGCCCTTGCCAGGCAATGTAGGTGTGGGTTGTCTCTGGGATTTGAGCAGGTGCCCCTCACCCAAGTCTCTGGCCCTCTCAGGGCTCTGGACTGCAGCTTCCTCCAGAGGCCTTGGGAATGCAGGGGCTGCCTGTAAGAATCCCCTGCAACTGGAGCTCTTTTCCCAGTTCTTTATGCATTTATTCAACAGATACTTATTGAGTGCTCGCTGATTGGCTAATACTGTCTCAAATGATGATAGTATATAGGCTGCAAATAACAAAGCAAAAATCTTTGCTCTCACAGAGATTCCTCTTCAGAGCTTGAGACTTTCTGTTGGAAATGTATTAGAAGTCAATCCAGAAATACAACTGAACATAATTTATAATTAGGTGCATATGAATAATCTCTTGAGTTTAAAAAAATCTTTCAGATATTATAAATATTTGGATAGATACTAAATAGTATTGGTTAAGAATGATGTGGAATAGAAAAGTACTCTATAAGATTTCTGGTAGAGTAAGATATTTCTGGTAGGTTAAGTCAGAAATATGTGTTGAAAGACTTTTAAAATGTGTAGAGTTCCAATATATAAGCTTTTCTCCACTCTTTGTCACTAAAATGACAGGAATTTTTAAAGGTGTAAGGAAGGATACACACACACACAAACAGCAGATGAGTGATGTCAACAAAATTTTGGAGGGTGAAAACTGTATGGATGAATAAAGAGTTGATTTCATTGTCAGCTTTCTGTCTGATCAATGCTTGTAGGAGGAAAACTTAGCAAGAGAAAGAACCCTAGAAAAGAGCAGGAGAGTGAGGTAAATCAGACACAGAAGTTTAATTACCATATGGTAGCTCTCCATCAAGTAAGGTAAAGCACAAAGAGCGCAGTGCAGGATGGGTAGGAGACAAGGGGGTGGGTCTCCTGCAGAGGGGAAGGGGTCCTGGAGACTGAAGGAGGGGGGGGAGGGAAAGTGGAAATAAGTAGAACAAAGATATGCCACATACAGGAACCTAATAACCTCAATGAACATAAACGTTTTATGTCTTAACTATGAGCTGAGATTAATGATATCAACAAGAATGAAAATGGGGAAAGGGGACTTAAGGCAGGAGGGAGAGGGGTGGGAGGGAAGGGGATTTAAAAAAGAACCAAGCTGTATGATGTGCACGCACCCACGCCCCAAGGCAACTGGAAACTGCAGGCCCTGCAAACAGGTACAGACAGGAAAAAGGAGCAAGAATTGAGGACAACAGGTGCCTCTGAAGACAGGGATACAGGGCAGAAGGAAACAGAACAGATGCTCATAACTCTGTATGAAAAGTGGATTCCACATTCCTGCCCCATTAGTCAGGAATTGCTCATCTCCTTTCCTGGAAGATAGCTGGCAGGTTACTATGGAGAACTTGGAAAAAAAAGATGTTAAGGCTCTAGGTATAACTGGGAGCAGAAATATGGTGCTGTAATAAAAATAAAAGGATTCAGTAATGATCTCCATGCTGAAATATAAAGCCAGTGTTCAGTGCCAAGAACATTGACCTCCAGCCTTACAAACTACAAGCACGAACTTGGACTATTCCTCTCTAGGGAAAACCAGCCTAGAGAAAAGGCCTATCTATGCACTTTCAAACTTGGGGAATCCCTCAACCAATCTTTCAGGTCTCAGCACATTCAATTCCTTTGAGCCCATTCAGCAAACCCACTCACACACAGACCGTGTTAGGGCCGCTCTCCTAAATACGAGTAAGCTACCAAGGATCAATGGATATGTAAGAAAATCCTCTACCCTGAACTACAGAGAAAGAAAGAAAACAGCTCAAAGGAATTAGAGACAATAAAAGATTATCATGAGTATGTTCCATGCTCATATTACTCTATATCTTGATAAAGATTTGGGTTTCACAGATGTGCATTTGTAATACTCAGTGAATGTGTGTTCAATGTACACTTTTTTCCAAATGAAAAAAAAACCTGCAGACATATATTGAACTCCGGCAAATGATAAGCACACTGAAATCTGGGGGAAATATATACTAATATCTGAAATTTACTTGTAAATGCAATAAAAATTAAGATGGATCAGTGGATGGATAGATGAAGAGACACATGACAAAACAAATAAAGTAAAATATTAAAGGTAGAATGTAGATGGCAAATATACAGATGTTCAATGTAAAGATTCTTTCAACTTTGCTGTATTTTTAGAAAATCTTATTATAAAATATTGGTAAAAATAACTCAACAGGTAAGTTTAGCAGCAGATTAGATAATGCTGAAGATGATCAGTGAACTAAGAGACGTAAAAATAAAATTACCCAGATAACAGCTTGGAAAGAAAAGGATATGGAAAATTTGAAATGCAGGTTAAAAATGTGAAAGAAAGAAAAGAGAAAGTACTAATGTATATTCTAAGCTAGGGATTCTTAACCAAGGCTGCACATAATTCAAGAAAGATAAAATGGTAAGATATCATTTATAATTCTGCACCTATTTTTTTGTTGTTGTTGTTTTTCTCCGGTACCGGGAACCGAACTCACGACCTTGCGCTTGGCAGGCAGGCGCTTTGCCGCTGAGCTAAATCCCCAGCCCCGCTGCACCTACTTTTAAAGCACTTGTAAAAGAATGTTTAAACTTGCACTTCAGCTCATCCTCTAAAGTTCCCCTGGGTCACTTATAATACCCACATGTGCTACACGACCATATGTAATGGGTGCCTGCCCTGGTACAGTTCAAATCCCTTTTGCTTATACTTCCCCCATCCACACACTCTTTGCTCCGGCTACACTGACCTTCTTGTTCCTTGGAATATTCTTCCCCAAAATATACACATAGCCCATTCTCTCTTCTTTATGATGTCTTCTTTATGATGTTTCCATAAATTATTTTCTTAAGGTCACCTTCTTAGTGATACTGTTCCTCATTCACCCTATTGAAAATCTCAGACTGATATTTTCAGGAGACAACATCTGTGTCTCCCTAAAATTCGTATGTTGAAATCCTAGTTCTCAAGATAATAGTGTCAAGGTGAAACTTGGGGAAATAATTAGGCCATGAAGGTGGAGCCCTCATAAACAGGATTAGTGCCCTGATGAAAAGGGCCCAAGGAAGCTGGTTTGCTCCTTCAACTATGCAAGGACTCAGCAAGATGGTACCACCCAAGTCCTAGGAAACAAGCCCACTGGACACCAGATTTGCTGATGCCTTGATCTTGGACTTCGCAAACTCTACACGCCCATTTCTCTTTTTTTTCCATAGCATTTATCACCACCTGACGTACTCTATATATATTACTTGTTTGCTACTTTACTATCTGTCCCACAACACAAGTGTGAATTTCACCAAGGTAGGGGTTATTGTGTGTTGTTCACCACTGTATCCAGGACTTGGCAGAATACGTGGCATAACAAACAAATACCTGTTCGCCAAAAGAATGAAGGAATCACTGTAGAATTAAATGTGCAGTTACCTTCAGATTTTCTTTGCTGCCCCTTCAGACAATAAGGAACCTCTTCCCTGGTCACTGACTTGGAGATACTTGGTTCTAAGCAAGGTCTGGGCAACAAAAAGCCCAAGTCCACATCACAGAGCTCCTTGGAACTTTCTTCTTTCTTAAGCAGTAAAGGCCTCATGGTCAGCATCTTTGTCCTGAAGTCCACCATCTCCACTTCATTTGGGAGGGAAAGAGAATGCACTTGTGTGCACTCTTGCTGCATTGAGGTGATGTGACTAAAAGGGGAGACACAGTTTGATTTAAAACTCATTCACCATGATAGTTTGGATCTGCCAAGTCCCTCAAAGGTGCATATGTTAAAAGATTTGTGTCCAGCTGGTAGCACTGTTGAGAGGTGGCAGAATCTTTAGGAGGTTGGAGGGCCTGGTGGAAAGCAGTCAGGCATGCCCTTAAGGAGATACTGGGATGCTGGTATCTTTGTCTCTCATTTTGCTTCCTGGCCACTGCTTAGTGAGCAGAATCTTCTGCTACATATGCTTCTCTCTGATGTACACACACACACACCAGAGCCAAAATGACCATGGACTCAGACCTCTAAAACCATGAGCCAAAAATAAACCTTTCCTTCTTTTTAAGTTGATTTATCTCACATATGTTGTCATGGTGGTAGAAAGCTAACACAGTAACTATGTCTACTGGATCTCTACTTCTCAGGCCAGTCTGACCCCACTGGAAAGTTTAGAGATCTATTTCCCAATGGTGCTGCTAAGTGGAATGGCTGCATTCTGAGAGGACAAGACCTCTCAACCCTCCGACCTGCTACCCACCTTCTCTGTACTACACACCCAGTACAGTCACCTGGATGGATTTGGTTTCAGTGCACTTTAAATTTTTTTGTCCTCATTTCCTGAAGTAGAGAAACCAGAGACAGTTTAGGTACAGGAGTAGTACCTTGTATCTCCAAAAGCACTGGTCAGCCCCTTTCTCAAGTTACCTTTGGAGCAGTTTTTAAAGTTTCAAATACGTTGAGGATTGATACTTTTGTAAACCATAATAAAAATGAATGATTACAGAAACAAAGTTTTAAAAAACATGCAGTCAATAAACCCCCATGTTTTCATCATATGACCAATGAATTGAAAATTACATTGTCAAATTGCTATATAATTTTTTAAAAATGGTTACTCTCAAGTTTTGTACTGAGCTCATCATGGACAGAACACAGAGTCAAACAACCACATTTTGGATAGCACTTTTCTGGAGCAGGGTCAGCAAACTCTTCCTTTGGGGCCAGATCTGACCTTCATCCTATTGTTTTGTAGCTTTAATTGGATTGCATGCAACTCATTTGTGTATATATTGTCTATGGCTGCCTCCAAGTGACAATTGCAGAGCTGAATCATTGTGAAAGAGACCATCTGGCCCACAAAGCCTAATATATTATTTGGCCCCTGCCATATAATATTTACTATGACCCTTTCTTTTTTTTTTTTTTTTTTTTTTTTTTTCTTTTTTGAGACAAGGTCTCGCTATGGAGTTCAGACTGGCCTTGAACTCACTTTCTAGCCCAGGCTGGTCTCAGCCACCGGAGTGCTGGGATTACAGGCATGCACCACCACGCCCGGCTACTGTGACCCTTTCTTTAGAGCATTGTTTTGGATCAAATTACTAAAACTATGGGTTGCTACACAAGTATCATCACTTCATATTTATATTCTAATCAAACACCCCCAGGATATTCCTTACTTGCTTTTTTTCAAATCTTCTTGGCTCACTTCTTGGAGATGACTGACACGTCTTGGAAAAGTCATAAAAATCTCAACACCTGTGGGAACACAGGAGAGTAGCAGAAAGGGGAAAAAAGTAATGAATGGTAAGTTTAAAAAGTAAGTAAAAGCAAATCCCCTATAATGAATGGGATCATTATGTATTCCTAAAATGTCCCAATAAACTTAATAAAAAAGTAAGTAGAAGTCATGCATGGTAAGTAGGAGAAGTATTTATATTTCTATTTGACCAATTTGTTCTTAATGATTAGAAAACACACATGAACTAGTGGCTGAGGGCTTGACCACCTTTACATCTTTCCTGTCCAGCACGTGATAGCTTTTAAGTAAACACCTAAAGAGAAAAAAAAAAAACTATAATAAAAATTTCCAGCTGTAAAATACAGTTTTACAATGAACAGTGCTGGCCTTGGGTTGATAAAACAAGGCCTGTTTCTAGAAAGCGTAACCAACCGTTCCTACCTCCCAGGACTGCCTGCAGTGAGGATTCACTGAGATAGTTCTTGTAGCCCCAAAGCAACTTGCCTGTATTTGTAATTTTGGTCATCTCCTGTTGGTTCCACAGGGTGATTCCCAGGGTAACCCTTGGATGCAAAGTCCCAACTTTGAGAACCATTGCGCGTCAACCACATAACATAGTTTAGGGTTGCTTCATGCACTTATTTTTCAACATTTGACAAACTTTTGTTAAGTGCATATACACCAAGCCCAAGGCTTTGGGCAGAAGATATACAGATAAACAAGATGAAGCTATGGCCCTAGTAGAGACAATGAGAAGCAAAGAGTACAGTGAGTAGCAAGTACTGCGAGGACACATGCAGAGTGTGGGATCGCAGAGGAGTGCCTTTCTAGGAGGACGCAATACTTGCCCTATCTATGAACTTGACAGGGCTGTGTACTCAATCTACACCTGCCTGAAGGAGCAATGTTGTTTTAAGTTCCAATGGTTGAATTTTAGGGAGAAGTATCACCAGAAGGATAAGGAAAGGGGTGGATCAGGTCTGAGTCTATATATCACCTCCGCCACTTCGTGGGTGGCCTGGGAAAAGTTACTAAGTGTTATCATCACCACCATTAGCTAATTTAGTAGATCTTTATTGTTTTTAAAGGACTTTGGGGACTTTGTTTAATACACAGGGACTACCAGAGTAAAAGCATTTTTATTGTTTGAATTTTATATATGTGCTATGTTAAGAGACTCATGCAGTTTAAAAGAAACAGTAAAATTTTCCAAATGGAAAAGTTTTATTTATAATCAGGCAAATGATAATAATGTTTACTATCTTTGTCATCCAACTTATATTTTACAGCACCATGAAAATGTATCTAGCTTTGGTTTTCTTCATGTTTCTCAAACATAATGTCTTGATTGTATATTTTCTAACATTACACAATTGCAAAGAATGACTAAAAATGAAGTTTCCTTGGAGTGGTCCAATTTTTTTTATTTAAACTGGGACTTGAACTCAGGACCTTATGCTTGCAGGCAGGCACTTGTGCCACAGAACTATATCCACAGCCCTGGTCCAGTGGTTTTTTAAGTTTTCAAAAGATGCTCTACTTCAGGAAATGAGGACTATGTAGTATGAAGTGAGAGTCTTTGAATTACAGAGCTGGGAACAATTTAGAGGTCATCCGATCCAAGCCTTTCAGTTTTTTTTTTTTTAAGAGAAGGAACAATTTATGGAAAGAAAAAAAGATTCTGTCTGAGAGGGACAGAAGAGGGCTTGGAAAGTGGGTTTTCCAGTAACCCCACTTCTCAAGGGTGTTTTATTGAGCAAAGCCACAAGGTGAGGCAGGCTTAAGGTGGGACAGAACTATAACCAATCAATAAGATTACAAGTATAGTCACTTAGGTAATAGTAATCCAATGGCAAATCACAGGATGGGTATGAGGTGAGACAAAACTATGGTCAACCAATAAGATTACAACAAGTATAGTCGCTAGGGTAATATTGATTAGATGAAGGCCTTCATTTTTAAGACAAAGAAACTGATAGTCATGAATCTGTGTGACATGCACAAGGTCACTCTCCTACTTAAAAGGAAGACAGATGTCTTTCATAACATTTCTGTAGTCATCCTCAAGAGTGAAAACCTAGGCAATGGGTTAGAGTGGGAAAAACATACGGCACACATCCCTACTGACTGAACTCTCAGTGAAAAGGATTTTCTCATACCTGCTCAATGCATTCAGTATTTTGCTATGGAAGTTAGAAAATGAGTGTGTTCACATGAGCACATGACTAAAAATAACTGTACTTTTTATGATTATGGAGAACAGATAAACCCAGAACACTTTCAAGCAAATTTAATGTACTCAAAAGTCTGGGTCTTCTTTTTCGATGAAGGAATAAACATACAATAAGCAAATACAAGGAATCCCAGCCTTTTAAAAAATTCTTAAGAGCTAATGGCCACTGTCCTAACTATTGGTCCTAAATAGGGAGAATATTACAGAAAGAGCTGGCTCTGAAATCACTTAAAAAGATACAAACATTTCTTTGTTCTGTCTTTGAACACTGTGAACAGCCAAGGAACTATGGATAAGCTCTGAACCTACTCAAGAGACCAGCAGAGATGACGCCTTGTCATAGGTAAAAATAAAGTACTTGAGTATATTATTATGCCCAAAGTGCATTTTTCACATAAGGAAGTGTAAATTAACCCTGTCAGAAAATGTTACCATTCAGAGAAATAAAAAGGCAACATTTTGACATAGCCAAAAACATATTTTCTGCATAGAAGAGGTGAAAATGATATTCATAAAAAAGCAGAAAATGATCATTAACTTAGTGTTAAAGTCTTTATTAAAAATGGAAACTTCAAATATGGCGCAGCCTAATTTATTCAATGAAGAAAAATTATTGTCTCTGGAAAAGACTGACTTGCCTCTGTATTTTCCTTGTCCTGTTTAAATTGATGGGCATATTTGTCTGAATTGCAGACATCAGAGTTGAGAATATTTTGATACCCTTCTCTCTGTTTCACTGATTTCCTAAATTGTTAATTTCAACTTCTTAAAAACTACATTTCCTAGCCTCCTGTATCACTAGAGTTCAGAAAGCTTATTTAAGAGACTGATGCATGTGAGTCTGAAAAAAAGATAAGGTACAGGTGTCCTTTGCGCTGAGGCGGGTGTCAGCAGAGGGACAGAGTTCTTAGGTACACAGTGGGATCATGGTTACAGCAGACAGCATGACGTGGGGGTCCGCAGCGGCCAATTTTGTGCTTATAGGAATCCTTCCTGAAAATCCAACCCGAGTCTTCCTGTTACGGACTGAATGTTGTGTCCTCCCCAAATCCATACACTGAACTCTTTCCCTAATGTGGTTATATTGCAGAAATTAAGGTTACAAAACTCATAAGAATGAGGCCCTGATCCAAAAAGATTTATTTCTATACAAGAAGAGAACCCAGCAATCCTTCCCCCGAGAAAAGGCCAATTGAGGGTAAAACTAATGAACTATGAGAAAATTAACGTCTGCTGTTTAAATCCCTCAGGCTGTGTTACTTTGCTGTCAGTCTGAGTGGACTAAGACAGTTTCTCTCAATGGTTTATGAACCTTATAATGTATTTTTTGAATTTATTCCTTTTTTAACACAACTAAGACTAGGTTCTCTGTGACTAAGATATATTTACATTGTATTAAAAAATCTAAGCCCAGTAATTGAATTCCTAAAATCACTGTTATTGACTCATGAAAACAGTAAATTTGTAGGATCCGTTTCTAGTCTGCAAGGCTTTTACGTGCGTGTCTTCTGAGAAACTAGAGACTGAGGAAAGCAAGAAGAGTTTTGTGTTAGGAAAAAAGATGACTTTAGTTTTTGGTCCATAAATTGTATTTTACACATTACCCTCACAAAAGCCCATAATAAAGCAAACGCATGCTGCAAGAATACTTAAATTCTTCATAAAGAATGTTAAGATTTATGGGAATGATGTTGTATGTCTGTTAATGTTTCCCTCCTTTTATCCTTAAAATAAAAAAAATAAATAAAAATAAAAAAAAAGATTTATGGGAATGGTCCAAACATTATGTGGGTTATAGGAATTTTAATTAGTGATATTCCCTTTTTAATAAAATAATATTCTGGACAAACATATACACAAAATGGTTAAATGTGCATATTTATAGCAGGTTAAACAGTCATGTGGTGTATGCATAAGGTCTTTTTTGGAAGGTATATGAGCACTTTGAACATCAATAACCCTAGAAATAACATGGAAATGGGATTTACAGATAGTGAATTGATAAAGAGAACTACACTGATACTTAAGATGCCTAAAATGCACAGCAATCCTCAAAAACACTTTCGCTTAAGACTCTGACTGAAAAGAGTAAGTAACTCAAGTGAAAACTATCAACTGTGAGGGGAAATTTTATCAGAAAGATTATTCTTGTTTCTTTGAAGTTTGTAACCCCATTTATTAAGACTTAAAACTCTAAGAGCTCAGTGCAACGCTGTATAAGTGCTATATTGAAACTGAAAACAAAACAAAAAAAAACTGAAAACGTCACAAAGAAACCTGGGGGAAAAAATGCCTGGTGCCTCAGTGGCAAATCATCTCCAAAGCGAGCAGGATAAATGAACTATTGAACCACTCGGAAGGCGCTCGGGGACAGTATTAGGCTGCTGAGAACTCGGCTTTGAGGTCTGTAGAATTCAAAGGAAGATCATACGCGCTGTTTGGAGGGGATCAGGATTTTTAAAATTTTAATGAGCTCTTTCAGGCTTGAGGGTGTTCATCATTGTTAACTGTTGCTAACGTACTCTCTGCCCGCGGATCGGGGAGAGATTTGCAGTGATTTGGAGAAAGGCAGGAGGCTGCTCAGCAGAGGGCAGCAGACGCAGGCGCCAGAGGAGAACCCGGCCAGGAAAAGGTGCAGCCTCCAGGGAAGTGAAAAGGATGAGAAAGACAGCTATCTAAGAGGGCAGCTTCCCTGGAGCGTTAGAAATGGATGCCAGAAAATCGCCAGGGAGAAACTGGAGCAGTTCAAATCAACATTTAACCTAAGAAGGTTATAGGCAAGTGGATGATAGGGGAACGTGACGCCTATGGTGACTATTTTCTGAAGCAAGGATCTGCAACTACTGCGTGGTCTGCAAGGGCACTTGGGGAGATTGCAGGGTAATGTATTTGAAATAGGTGTTGTTCTGGAAAGTTCTTGATTTGTGGCCTCTCAGAATAGAAGACAGACTCGGCGTCTGCGAGCTAGTTCACTCTCCCACCTTCCCCTCCAGGGCAGGAACTCAGGGGCCACTCCAGATGGGTCGATGTTCAGTTCTGGAAGGCAAAACGTTCCTGGAGCAGATGTAAGATTCTGAGCGGAAAGAGAGGGGGGAAGGCGCAGGGAGTCGTGCTGAGCGTGAGCGGCGTGGGCGGCGGAGAGAACCAGGACAGAGCTGGCCACCTGCGTGGGGGCAAGTTGCCAAACTTCACTTACTCAGATGTGGACGCAAGGATAGGCTGTGGACTGGTTTTTATTTTCCTCTGTGATGATTTTCTTCTTCTCTTCAGCACTCCCTTTCCAAGCCGCTAATGGCAAGAACCCAGGACTAAGCTCACATCCCCAGCCCTGACAGGGTCTCACTGTCTTCCCCAGGCTGGCCTGGAACATGCAATCTTGGCTGAGCCTGGTATTTTCTGTGTTTTCAGAGTTGCCCTGAGCCCTTCAGAAGTGAGGAGGCAGAATCCCCCGAAATCAGTGTTAACTTTGTAAGCACATGGAGGACAGAAGCCAGATACCTTCTGTCGGGGCTGGGGATTTAGCTCAGCGGCAAAAGCGCCTGTCTGGCAAGCGCAAGGTCGTGAGTTCAGTTCCCGGTACAGGAGAAAAACCAAAAAAAAACAAAAAACAAAAAACCAGATACCTTCTGTCCCGGGTGGCCAGTCTTGTCCTTCCCCCTCTCCACCATGCAGTATGGAACGACTGCAGTCATCATCTTGTTCAGACTCCTGCAATATAAAATAAAACTCTGTCACCCAGTGTACTTCTTCGCTGGCACAGTGAGCGTTGGCTTTTCAAGGCTAAGAATGTTTCACACTGTGGAGTCCTTTTAAATTCGATAAAGTACTTCAGACTAAAATAATGGGGAAGTATCTGCCCCCAGAGCACCAGGCTCCGACAGTTGCAGATGTGATTAATTGCATAATCAAAAATGAACATCAAAGCTGAAATCACATAGACACATAGAAATTCAATATTTTATACTTTATCACTTCAGTATCCAGGCTGCTAAGCTGCCACGAATTCCATCTGGATGGCTAACTGGAAAGAACCCTTCAGCCGCAGTCACAGTGAACAACCCCCAAAGAACATTATCTTTTCCCTAATGCCCCCCTGGGATATCATTTACAAATGGTAAGGATAGAAATCCCTGCCCCTTGTGGCAGCTACAGATATAACCCGAGACCGAAGAAGGCAGCAAAGCCGATTAGAGTTTCCACCATGACAGCTCTGTGATCTGATCACGGCACACAACTTCTCAAACTTCCTTTTTTTGCCCTCTAGAAAATAATCATCGCGCTGAAAAACAAGGTTGGAAATCAACTGGATTTACAAAAAACACTCTGAACTCTGTAAAGAAATGTTTTCTTATTGGAATGCATTGCTGTTGGTCGGTTCCTTTATTGGAAATTGTTGCTGTTGATTTTGTGCTGTTAAATTTCTGTAAGAAGGGTGGTGAGGGGTAGTTCAGCGGCAGAGTGTGGGCTTAACATGGAGGCCGTAAGTTCAACCTCCAGCACCAGAAAAAACAAAAACCTGCAGAACAACAACAGATGCAAACAGTAGTTAAAACATCACGGCATGACCCAGATGTTCCAATTAGCTGTATTGCTTCTCTGATCTGGACGAGCTACCTACGTTAGGGGCCTGTTGGATACAAAATCTTTGCCGTATATGCAGGTGCCTGTATCTGACAGCTCAGACAAACAGCCTGTCACCCAAACCCTGTGATATTTCATTCATTAATTTAAAGATGGATTGGAAATGTTTTTCTTTTCTTTTTTGCTTTGTTCATGTTAATTCTCATAGAACATAATAAAAGTAAAATCCTCCATTTATAGTACTGCTGAAAATATTTGTAGATATCCAGTTATAGTTTAGTTGTCACACTTTGCTTTTATTCTGCAACACAGAAAATATCCTTCCTTTGTTTTTTTCCCAAGGGTTTAAAAATCAAGTTGTACCACATAATTTTGTATCTGGCTTTTCAACTTTAGACAAGCATTGCCTCTCCCTGTCTCCCACCAAGCAATGGCCCGTGCTGCCTGGGCCCTCTGCCAACAAGACGGACATCATCAGAAATACCCAGTGGACCTTGGGAAATAACCAAGAGCCAAAACAAACCTCATTTCTTTATAATTAAAAAAAAGATAAACAGCCGGGCATGGTGGTGCACAACTATAATCCCAGCACTCGGGAGGCTGAGGCAGGAGGATCGTTGCAAGTTCGAGGCCAGCCTGAGCTACAAAGCGAGCTTAAGTTCAGCCTGAACTGCATAGCGAGACCCTGTCTCAAAAACACACACACACAAAAAAAAGAGAAGCATAAATTTAAGCAACTTATTAAGTAAACATCATTTTAATGTAATTTTCACTTTCTTTCCTCCAATAAATATCTATCAAAGGGGCATAAATAATGTTTCTGTTAAAAATCCCATAAGTCTTATAAGGCCCATAATGCTTATTAGACAATTTTTAATTCTTCATCATTACATATAGTATTGTGAACATTGTTACAACTAATAGCCCAATTTTGCATTGTTTCTTTAGAATAAATTTGTAGATATGGAATTATTAATCTAAACAGAGCAAAAATTTTAAGTTTTCTTACAACATACTGTTTAAAAGTAGTTTTTTACCTATTTAAAATCCACCGGCAGTGTATGTGTTTCATTACATCTTCTCTCATCAATTATTTTCAGTTTTATTAGTATAGTATGTGAAATTGATTACCTTATTATTATGCAGCTATATACCCTTTGATTAATAGAAAAGTTAGAATGTTTTAGATGCTTATGGATCCTTTGGATTTTTCTTTGTATCATTACATAGATTTTGTTCAGATCCTTAGTCTGAAAGACCCTATAAGTTCTCAGAATATATCTATCATTTCATACAATTACAGAGATTCAATGAAATTTTTATGCCAAACTTTAGGAACATAGCAGCCTTCATCTGGAAGTGATAAAGATGCAACTGTTCTCACATCAAGTTTCTATGTCGTTTAATAGGCTAGGGTTGGTCTCAACTGCTCAGTTTATTTTATTTTATTTCATTTTCTTTTTTGGTACTGGGAATTGAACTCAGGACCTTGCGCTTGCCAGGAAGAGCCCTGTTCAACTGCTCAGTTCATCCTTTAGAAAAATCGGAAGATAGCAGAACTCAGGCATAGTACCTACAAAATACATATCAATGACTAGCATTTACATATATCATGCCAAGCATTATTTTATGTACCTTATCTGTATTAAATATTAACTAATTTTATCCTCACAATAACTATAAAGGTAAGAACTATTTTCATTTTACACATGAAGCCCGGAGAAGCTGAGCAACTTACCCAAAGTCACACAGCTAGCCAGTTGTAGAGCCAGGATTCATACCCAGACTCTGAAGTCTGGCTCCAGAGCTTGGAACCAGTCTGCTGTCTTGCTACTATGCAAGTTTGAAACAAAGAATTTCAACAAGAACCAGAAATAGGAGAATCAACGACAAAGAGCAATGTGAAAACAAAGGATTTTCAAACTTACATTACAAATATTGTATAGGAAAAAAGAAAGATGTGTAACACCTAAAAGGGCCTGACAAAAATTTCTACCCTGGAATAAACTGAAAAACTGTAAGTATCCAAACAAAAGGGATATAGGGAATAAGATTCACTTTGAAGTTGATTGTTGAAAGAAAACCTCTAAAACCATAGCAGCACAAAATTCCCACCCCTCTCCTTTTGAGACTGGGTTTCACTATGTAATTCAGGCTGGCTGGCCTGGAACTCACCTTCTAGTCCAGGCTGGCCTGGAACTTACAGTGATCCTCCTGCCTCAGCCTCCTGAGTGCTAGAATTACAGTCATGTGCCACCGTGCCCAGCTCCCTAATTTTTTTATAGAATGTTAATTGCAAAAGGATTTAAACTATGTTTGGTGTGACAAGGAGGAGAATCAAAATAATGATACATAGTAGTGAGTGCAGGAGAGACAACATTAGCAAATCTCAGAGGTAGACAGATTGCATAAACCACTAGCAACAACCCAAGAGGTACAGGACGAATGGGAAATAGGGCATAGCATTCTCGTCTGCAAACATCAGACCACCAAACACGCAGAAGGGAAAAGTAACCTAGAAATCATACACAATTAAATTTGGAATGAGGATCCTTAGATGAAACAAATAAAAAACTGGAAGAGCCTAGAAATAGTCTGTCAAGAGCAATCCATGAGCAAGGCAGCTGCTTGTATTTGTACACCGTAAAAAGCTCTTTCAGACAAGCAAGAGATGCAAGCCTCCATTCGAAGAAAAGAAACAAAGGACAAGCATGGGTTTTACAATTTAAATCCTAAAGAAAGCACTAGGGAGGAAAAGGGAAGTTCAATAGTGAAGAAGTCTATTTCACTCCCCACGAAGGAGTTCAAATTTGATTTCAACTACAACAAGAAAAAATATCTAAGGGCAAATTTTTTTTTTTAAGTTTTACAGTTGCAGGAAAAAATTTACTACTACGAAGGGATTTTGTTGTCTTTTTAAAAATATGCTGTCTTTCTTAAATGTACCATAAAAAATAAAAGTAAATGAGTCTGTTTATCAGTTTCTAATGCATGACACTCACTTTAAAGATAGGTCTGTAAGTAATTTTATTACTATACGATATTTTAAACCAGAAACAATACAACCTGCTACATAGGAGGGTATAGGGTTTTTGTGGTGCTAAAGACAGAAGCCCCTGCCGTGTGTACGGTAAGTGTGTGCTCTACCACCCAGCTACCTAGGACCGAGTTTCTCAGCCTCAAAGCTGACACTTAGGGCGAGATCATTCTTTGCCGTGGGGCAATCCTGGGCACCACTAAATGTTAATCAGCTTCATTGGTCTCTATCCCACTACCAGCATTCTCCCCCCATTATAACACCAAAATGTCGAAACATTGCCAATACACCTCCCGGACACTGCTCCCCTCCCCGACTCCCGCCGCACCGCTCCCCCTAAGGTTGGGAAACAAAAGCCACTTGGATAAGTTGCAGATTAACTTATTTAGAAATGTTATAAATGCACAGTTAAAATACTCTAGCAGAATTACAAAAAGAAAAGTTTCTATTTTATCTTATGTCATGCCCCAGAGAAGTCTTAATTTAACCATTTCATTATTTTTAATGTATTAATTTGATTTTTTTTTTTTTTTTTTTGGTCTTTTTGAGACAGGGTCTCGCTATGCAGTTCAGGCTGGCATCAAGCTCACTTTGTAGCCCAGGCTGGTCTCAAGTTCACAACAATCCTCCTGCCTCAGCCTCTCGAGTGCTGGGATTACAGGTGTGCGCCACCACGCCTGGCTTTAATTTGAATTTTATATCAAAATCAAATCACATTTTTTTTTAAAAAAAATCAAACAATGGCAAAAGACTTAACAGCAACACGGTAAGCAATTTCCTTCCCCGCTCTTCCTCTCAGAGGCAGCCACTGCCAAATACAGCTGTTCCTTACGGCGTTTTCCTCCATGTCTCTAGATGATTACTATGGTGTCTCTTAGGCATCAAAGTGAGACACCACCTGCTGACTCATTATAGTAGTTCACAATTTAACATCCTAATGCCCTGCCTTTGTCCCGGCAACAAATTTATTTTCTGTTGGTAAATCAATAGCCTAATTATGTTTATGAAGGGATTTTACTATGTAGTACCACATAGTATAATTATATTTTCTTTCTTAAACAATGCCCAGACAAAACATAAAACTTGTTTCTTTTCTTCAGTAAACTAATTTTAGTGCCATTCACAGCAAAACTGAGGAGGGGCAGCGATTTTGTGCACAGCTTCCTCCATTATCACCACCTCACCCGAGGGACACAGCTGCTACAGCTGATGACCCATTATCACCCAGGGCACATCAGGGTTTGCTTTTGGTGTGATAGTCTACGGATGTGGACAAATACCTAATGACACGTGCCCACCACTACAGTTTCATACAGGGTAATTTCACTGCCTGAAAAAATTCGTGCATTTGTCCTCCTACCCAACCCAGCTCTCATAGGACCAGCAGCCAACGTGTACATATCACTGAGTCAAAGGACCACAAGGTCCTTTTCTGAAGATATTCAGGGAGCCCAGAGAACAGACCTGAAGATACTACAAAATCACTTCACTATTAGATGAACCCCAGAGACGGCCACCAATAGATAAATTGCACTGTACATAGAGCGCTTCCAGCCAGATTTTAGAGTCTTCTCAAATATGAATAGCTAAAGATTTCCAGGTGTTCCAGGGAAAATCCCTAATATGAGAAAAAGTTAACACAACAAAAAGGAGAAAAGAATATGGATGAATGCCTGGCAAGCATGAGGTCCTGAGTTTGATTCCCAGTACCAAAAAAAAAAAAAAATTATTGACATTGTTTTTGGAAATTGACCAAGATGAAAGGAAATGCAGAACAAGATAGAGTTCTCATATAAAAAGAAGAGATGCAAGAGAGCTGAAGGATTTTTTATTTCTTGAGACTTTTAAATTAGGATCGGTTTCTGTGGTGCTTGAGGTATATTCATATAACCAAAGTTTGGGAGCTGAGAACTTCATGCAGGTTTGTGCATATTGAAGTTTCTCTGATATTCAAAGGTTGCACAGTTAATAAATCTTCACCAGTAAATAAATTCTCAGAAGCTCCCACATCACCTGTACTTTACATACATATATAAGCATTTGTTCTTTAACAGTATCTGTGTGGGAGCTCATAAAATCTAAATAAAACCAGAGTTGGGGGGAATGAATAGGTTTAGCTTTATCAGGGCTCTTTAAAATCTGTTTTTCACACTTCTATTCATTCAAAACTGACAACAAACATAAGTAGTAATGTCTCTGGAAGGTTAAACTGAACATCAAACCAGTCATCAAGGCACTTGCTTAAATTTCCCGAATAGTCCAAAGCCACACTGTTGAAATCCTTGTTCACAGTCAGCTGTCGGGAAAAGCCAGTGGAGGTCAGATCCTGCAGCACTGGCAAGAAGAAAATGGGCCCTGGGCCGATGTCTACGACCCCTGGTGTTTGCATAGGGATTGAGAGGATAATGGGATTTGGCATCCGAAGGCAGCCATTTGTCATTGACAGAGTTCTTACCACAGTAGCTAAGATTTTAATCACCTCCCAAATTCAGAGGAATCTGGCTTTATTTCTGCTAGTACTAAAATCTCTTCCCTGGTTATTATACTCATTTCCTCATTTCTCCATCCCTGCACTCTTCCATGCTGGTCAATCCCAAGACTAAGTGAACTGTGTTTTCTGAACAGGGTCAGCTGGTTCCTATGTAGAGAAACCACAGATCCGGGCTAGGTTCCACCCACCCCCTCTACCCAGACCAGGAAGCTGAGCCCCAGCTCCTGGTGCTGTGTCGTCTACCAGCCGCCTCTTGCTGTAGAAACTCCTACTAGCTCTTAGTCCCAGTGTGTCCCAGCACTGGGCAGCCTAATCAGATGGAGCAAGAAGAGCACTCTTGTCCAGTTCTTGAGAAGGAAGGATAGGGAGAGAATGGGATTGTTTTCTGTGAACACCCCTCTGCAAAACAATAATAATAGTAATAATAATAAATTAGAATTCCTATCATGAGATATTTAACAGCATTTTTTTGTTCTCTTCCATGTAGGGCTTATTGTTTTATTTCATATTGTTTACTCCTTGCTTTTTTAATCTACCAAGTTTAGAAATCTTAGTTTTTTGTTCTTTAATCTGCTAAGTTTAGAAACGTAGATTTTTGTTGTTGTTGTGCTTTTGTTTTGTTTTTTTGTTTTTGTGATGCTGAGGATTGAGCCCAGGGCCTCCGCACCTACTCAACAAGCAGTCTACCATTGAGCAGTAAGTACCCCAGACCTTTTCATTTTGACATAAGATCTCACAAAGTTTCCTACACTGACCTCCAACTTGCAGTCCTCCTGTCTCATCCTCCCAGGTAGCTAGGACTGCAGGTGTGTGCCACTACTCTTAGCTACAAATCTTAGATTTTTAATGAAGCTTATTTTCAGTTTCTGTCCAGCTCACTCAGGAGTATAGTAACAAAGAAATAGTAATGTTCAGTAATGCAAAGAACATGGGGTTTCTAAATCAGTCAGATTGAGTCCAAGCGCTACTCATCCCTAGTTAATATTTAAACCTTATCTAAATAAAGTGGATCTTTAACTTAAAAAAAAAAAAAAGAATGTGGATGAAGAAAGAAATGAAGAGGAGGAAATAATGTTTAATTCATTTGTATGTATTTATTTATTATTTGGGGGACAGGAGTCTTACTATGTTATCCAAGTTGTTCTCAAACTCCTGGACTGAAGTGATCCCCCCAAGTGCTGGGATGAAAGATGCTTGCTACTATACCAGGCTAGCAAGAAATAACTTTAATAGGAATAAAGAAAATTAAAGAAAAATTTCCAGAACCAAAGGACATGAGTTTTAAAAATGAGAGGGCCACTTATTCCCAGAATAACAACTACAAAAGTCACCTTAAAGTATTGTGAAGTTGTAAAGTGCTGGAGCTGGGAAAAGACCGTAAAATTAGGTGGGGGTGCAGCACAGGAAGCTAGAACGAGACCAGACTTCTGAAAGGTACCATTGGAAGCCACAAAAACATGGAGCAATGAAAGTTCTAGATAACAATAAAATATGGCTTGAAAACAGAAAAAGATTTAATTAAATGGAATT